AATATACTTGTACTATACATACTTGTTTCTAGTCATGGCAATATACTTGTACTATACATACTGTTTCCAGTCATGGCAATATACTTGTACTATACATACTTGTTTCTAGTCATGGCAATATACTTGTACTATACATACTTGTTTCTAGTCATGGCAATATACTTGTACTATACATACTTGTTTCTAGTCATGGCAATATACTTGTACTATACATACTTGTTTCTAGTCATGGCAATATACTTGTACTATACATACTGTTTCTAGTCATGGCAATATACTTGTACTTGTTTCTAGTCATGGCAATATACTTGTACTTGTTTCTAGTAATGGCAATATACTTGTACTATACATTTTGTGATGTTCAAATATTTTAATGACGACGCTGATTTCACTGGTTTCTTTTTTCCTTTTCCATAGCTTCAGAAATGTCTGTAACAACAAGGGTTCGACGTGGAATCAATGAAGAACGTAAGTCTATTTCGTATTTTTCTCAACTAGAAAACAATAATACTGTTTCTGAGTATAACCTTTTAATATACTTTCTTTCCAAATATTGACTCGCAATCCGCGGGTTCGAAACCGTCACACCAAACATGCTCGCCCTTTCAGCAATGGTGTGTGATAAAGTAACAATCAATCTCGTTATTCGTTGGTAGAAGAATAGCCCAAAAGTTAACTGTGGGTGGTGTTGACCAGCTGCCTTCGCTCAAGTCCATCACTGCAAAATTAGGGATGGTTAGCGCAGGCAGCCCTCGAGTAGCTTTGTGTCAATATCCGAAATAAACCAAATTGAATTAATAAGTGATCTAATTTTTATTAATCTAGCTGAAATAATATATCATAGTGGATAACTTCAAAATAAATTGTTTATTTTATAACATTTTCTTTCAGTTCTACCTTTTTTTTTTTTAAGGTTGCGGGATCAGACCATTAGGTTTAAGGATTATCAGAGGGGGAATAGCAATACCTCATTCTTGGCCGTGGATGGTAAGAATTTATTTATATGTTTTGTTTTAGAGCAAAGCCACATGAGGCTATAAGTTGTATCCATCTCGGGAATAGAAGCCCGGATTTTAGCGATGTAGTTCTGTAAAATTACCGCTGCCCCACCTGGGGACTAAACACTGAGTTAATTTGAATGATGTGTTCAAAGCTTGACTCTCTACTATTTGTTTTGAATTAAGTTATATAGAAATACTTAATGATTTGTAAACCTAACATAGGGAAGTAATAAAACATTATGGAAACATTCAGACGTTACCTTTCAATTTGTTACTTTTTATGATGAAACCGCCACATTATGTAAACGTATCACAGAGTTCGAATCAACATTCAGATGTTAGATTTCAATTTGTTACTTTTTATGATGAAACCGCCACATGATGTAAACGTATCACAGAGTTCGAATCAACATTCAGATGTTACATTTCAATTACGATTTTTACGTTAAAAACAGGAAGACGGGTCGATGGATTTCGGGCAACGGATTTTGAAAAAGTTGTAAAAGAAGCAGCTGTTATTTTAACCAATGAAAGGTAACACATAAAAATTAGAACTGAGGACCAAAACTCGGGACAAGGTTGAGAGATGGATCTGAAAAAGTGATTTTCCACAAAGAAACAAAAGACCATTGCTTGGTTTACTGTTTCTAACGAGTGATACAGATTAACAATCTTAAACAATGGTTTAGATAAGGATCTAACTCTAAGAATAATTTATAATACAGAAAACAGAACCAAAGTTAAGACAGGTTCACAGATTAACCTGTCAAGGTATTTCCAATATCAGTAACACCCTGTCTTCGTTTAAAAAATGTGTGTTATTTTTATTAAACCAAAGTAACTAATATTTCATTACGAACTGTACTCAGAGGTTGGAATGGAATATTTACTGTGGATCCTCATCGTTTTTCTATTTATTTTTAGGCCAGATTATTCCATGTAGGTCCTCACAGTTTCCTTTAATTTTTCGTAATTTTCAGCGTGATCCTCGTATATTTTTCCTTTTTTAGGTCGGAATTTTCGAAGTAAATCCTCAACGTTTCATTTGTGGTGGAACTATTATTAATAAAGGCTCCGTTGTCACTGCCGCCCATTGTCTTGTGACACAGTTTGGAAACAGGTAAGTGCCAAACATCTTCATTCCAAAGTTTAATTTACTACAAATAAATCAAAATACCGTTCTTATATATCAAAACAATTACCAGTATAAACAAGGATTCTAAACCAGCGTTTCCCAAACTATGTTCCGTCCGAGATTGATAGGTGCTCCGTGAGAAAATCATGATTTTAAATTTTAATAAAGTATTTAACACTTTCTGTACGATCATAACTTATTATGAAATATTTTCCTATGTATTAGAATTAGATAATATCGATTTAACATTGAAGAAGAATTATAGAAGATGCCATATCTATTCTACATAATATCTTAGTGGAGATGTTTGTACCTAAAATATATGGTAAGCATGAAAATGTAAAAAAATCATTTGATTACATTAATAAATGAATAACATACATATCTAGAGGGCGCTACGCGCGCAACATACCCTCTACACCAGTGGTTCTCAACGTGGGCCATATGACCCCCAGGGGGCCACACCATGTTTCTAAGGGGCCCGCAGTGAGTTCTGAGTGGTCCACCGAACCTTCACTGCCCGAATAAAATATTTCAACAGCCAAAGCTAGATTCAAACGTGACAGACAGACAGATTTCCACAGATCTGGGAGAATTATATTTTATAGCTTTTTCCACATCTTATCTGGTTGAATCTGGTTTTAGTCAGGTGACTTATTTGCTATCAAAAATGCGTAACTGCCTTGATGTTGTGAGGGGAGGTGATCTTCGCTTATCACTGACCACACTGCAACCGGACATTCAAAAATTTTCAAGTGCTCATCAAGCCC